AAACACAAAGCAAATATCTAATATTTGTCATCCTAAGATTGATTTAATTCACTAATATAATTATGAGTATTTGCAACCTTCACTTATCCTGTCTCTTAGTACATCTATTTATCCCTATCCCCACCATAACTTGAGTTCTACCATGCCCTCTGCAGGCATAGCCTTTATGTCTAAGTAAAAAAAAAAAAACAAAAAACAAAAAACTCTTTATTGTGTACTTGAGAATCTTTTGGATATATGCCTATATGCCTAGGAGTGGTATGGCTGGATCTTGAGGGAGTGCTATACTTGGGAGGGGCATATGCATGCAGAGGGTGGAGGAAGGGAGGGATTGGGATGGGAGGAGGGAGAGAACCACAGGGGGGATACAAAGTAAATAAAGTGTAATTAATAAAGAAAAGATAATAATAAATAAATACTACTAAAGGAAGAATGAAAGTTCATACTTGGTTTCTTAAAAGCTTATTTACATTTATAATGATGTGGGAAAACATCAAAATACTGTACTCAGAATCATTGGCGAATAGAGGGAAGTAAAAAGGAATCCACAGAAACTGTTTTCAAGGCAGGACGGTCATTCATGTATCTTGAAGTAAAGTACTATTGTCTAATTATAGTCTCTGTAGTTTAAGGTGCGGGTGCAGACACAGACTCATTACGCCAGTGTTAACTGAAACCATGAGAATGTATCTCTTTGGCAGAAGAGCTATTAATTTTCATGGTGCATGTAACCACTTGTGCATCTCTTAAGCCCCACAATAGAATCCATCCTTCCAGGCAAAACTGCTGCTACAAGCAGGTAAGTAAGAAATGCTTCATGAACCACGACAGATAATGATGGAATAAGGAATACAAAGATGCCTAGCAGCAGGATGCTCTGGAACCATCTGTTACTAACTAAGGGGGTATCTCTGCAGTTGGAACTCTAAGGCTCCGAAGTGTGGCTGACACTGCTGGGTCCAGCAAATGTGAAGCGAGGCAAAAGTACCTCAACCAAGTAGTTCCCTTCTCTGGAAGGAATGGAAGCTTCTGGTGCCAATGGCCCTTTCAAGGGCTTTGTGGTGACCAAATTGTTCATCTTGGAAGTGCAAAAAGAAGCCGGAAAAACAAGGTGTCATTCACTTATGAAGAGAAAGTGAGGCCTAGTGCTGTCGTGGCGCAAGCCTGTAGTCCCAGCACTCTGGGAAGCAGAGGCAGGCAGATCGCTGTGAGTTCAAGGCCAGCCTAGTCTACAAAGCCAGTCCAGTCCAGGACAGCCAAGGCTACACACAAAAACCCTGTCTTGGAAAACCAACCAACCGACCGACCAACAAAATAAAACAAAACAAGAGAAAGGGAGGCCATTTCTGAGTTAAGCACTCAGCAGGCAGCCCAAAGCCAGACTGCTTTTCCAGATCTCTTTGCAGCCAAGTGGTTTGGGTCTCCTCAACTGGCAAATACATTTTCTACTCTGAAAGGCCATATTCAAGCTAGAGGCCATTAATTTTATTAGGCACCTCAAAACTACGTATGTTTAGTTGTTCTTCCACAGAAACTGCACTTGGGCAAGGATTAGCAGGTGAAGAAACCTAGAGACATGAAAAGAAATTACTCAATATAAAACTGGTAGAGAATCCTACTTATAAGTTAATCATATGGATTTTTTTTTACTTAACTTGAAATATGGTTTTGACAGTCAGCTCATTCACTACATTTCCCATATAATGAAAGTTTAAATGCTTAACAGAGAGCTACACTCTCTATATAGCAATACAATGCATATTTTCCCAAGTATGCAAATATGCCTGGCATACTGCTACATAGGGTTATCCCATACAAAATAGATTTGGTGTAACTCTTATTTTGGCATCTTCAGGAACTGATTTAATATCTATATGTGTTTTACCACTGTATTATTAAATAATATAAACCAACTTACTTGAAGGTATTGGTTTCAAATCAGTCAAGTCCAGAAGTTGTTCAATACTAAAGCCAAAGAAGTCCTATTATTATATTACATTATTATTATTATTATTATTATTTACTAGTTTTCAGTTACAAACATAATACTTAATGTAGCCTGATGATGCTGTTTTTAGCCAAATAACTGGCAAATAATTTTTGCCCTGTGTAAGTTAGATGACATAGCCTGCATTCTCTGTATTTCTATACAACTATGAACTGCCTTTTAGGAAGTCTTAAGTATAAAATGAATATAGAACAGAGCTCAATTCTGAATCAGAAATTCTGAAGGAGTTATGTTCAAAAAGTTGCTTTTCTTCTTCCCTAAAACTAATGGTAGAACTCATATTTGGTTAAAGTAAATAAAGTATCTTTTAAACATTTACTTAAGGCTGTACGCTTCAATTTCGTAATTGAACGCTTAAATGTGCACAAAAGACATGGGCACACATGTATATACAGGAAGTTCCACTATACATTGGCTCCTTCTTCCCCATTCATCTTAGAATGAACATGAAGAACTGCCAAAAGAGAGCAAAAGTGTTGCGTGAACCACTATGCCAATGACATGGGCCTCAAAGAATGGCATGCTGTGGACTGCTTCCGGACTGGGACCTAAGTATCTCCAAGATTAAAAATTATTGCTGCAGTTGACAGAAGCATAGAGCTGACAATGACCTCAATTAACCCATCATAGATTCACCAAAATTTTGCCACTGACAATGAACATGGCAGAAAGAAATGGAGAGGATGAACAAAAATATTCTGCAAAGAGATTCCTAACAATTTACAACCTGGAAATGAGATGCTATTTTCTAATTCCAACCTATCAGCATCTATTTTCTGTAACATTTGAGTCTTTAGACTCACTTGCTTCACTCTCGTAAACATAAGCTTCCTCTGTAACTAAGGAGATAGTACATTCTGTGCACTTAGTTGCTCATTAACAGTTCATGGTCCCTGTTGCCTGGTTATGTTCGTTAATAAGCATCTGTTGGTTTAGACAGTAAGTGCCTTGGTTTGGGTAATAAATTACACCCATAATACCTGCAGATGAACTGCCTGTGACAGTCAATCTGGTGGGGATTTTAGTATCTGTAAGCACTGTTCAGTGTTCATGCTGGCCTTTTGTCCAATCACCAAAATAACTAAATGGCACAGGGTTTTGAACAGTACCTTATAAATTGGCTCTCCACTTGGGGGTCTAAGTTTAAGAGCCCCAACAGCAGTCTGGGAAAGATAACTTTGCTCCAGTATATATGTTTCTTACCTGGTACTAAGTCATAAAAGATGTATCGGTTAGGATTCTATTGCTATGATAGAAACATGATTAAAAGCAACCTGGGAAGATTTGCCTTACACATCCTGGGTCGCAGTTCCCATGGAGGGAAGCCAAGGTAGAGTACTACCTACTGGCTTGATTTCCATAGTCTGTTCAGTCTGCTTTCTTTACCAGCCAGGATCAGCTGCCCGGGGGTAGCAGCACCCACAGTGAGCTGGGCCCCCCCCCCACACGTTAGCCATTAAGCTCTGAACACTCAACACCTTCTCTAGTCCCAAATTCCAAGATGTTTCACATAAGTGTAGTAGTGCGAGGTCCTTCAAAAGTGTTTGGGCGTAGCTGGTCTTTGCTACTTTGTGGGTTCTTCTTTTTCCCACTCTATCCCCTGCCCCAGTTTCGCCCCCTAACACTGGTATGAGGGAAACAAGGGCATAGAAGGGAGAAGAATTAGGAAAATCCTTGATTCCAATTTCTTTCCTTTTGTTTCTTTTTGACCACAGTTACTAGCAAACCACAACCAACCTCCCTAAATGACCAACGGCCAACCACACCCACACACTCCCTAATGGGGCTCTAGCATTTATACACCCTCTGAAAAGTTCCCATAATTCCAAACAATCACACAATCGCAGAAACTATCAACGGCTAGCAAAACCATGCATCTGCTAGGGCATGAGGCGAATCATAGCCACCTGCTGCGGACAGTTTGAAGCAGCTCCACATCCCCACACCAGGGATTAAAAATAAAAACATATTCTTATACTATTTCTGTGTTTTTAAAGAAACCAAAAAAAATTCTTACTACATTCAGGGGCTTAAGGGTACAGTTCAATGGCAGAGTACTGGCTAAGAATCTGCAATGCCTTGGGGTTCTGTTCAGTGTTATAGAAACAGAAAGTTGGAAAATCTCACTGAAGGGTGAACCATTTTCACTTTGAAGTCTTGCTCAAAATCCTACTGCAGGAAATCTAGGAGAGCAAAGCATCTCGGTGGCAGTTAGAGTACAGTTGCTCAGTCTTACAAACAGCAATACAAAAAAAAAAAAAAAAAAGCACCTTTCCCTTTGCTTCACTTCATGGAGACTCATGAAGCCCCTTTTAAGGTGTTTCTATGGAACATTGAAAAATGCTGGTCTAATCCAACTCATTTTGTTTACAGGAGGTTCATTTTTTTTCACATATTACAATAGTATTTTCTATACTGGTAATGCTATAGCAAAGTCACAATCAAAACCTAAATGGTGCACAGTATTGTTATGAAAGCTCTAAGCACACTTTAAAATAAGGAAACAAATTCTCGTGGATACTGATGATTTACTAGTCTGCAACTAGTGGGCTGAAACAGTCATTCAAAATAACTAAGCATGGAGCCTCGTGTATACGTGTGTGTGTGTGTGTGTGTGTGTGTGTGTGTGCGCGCGCGCACACACACGCATGAGTGTGAGAGAGATTCTTTTGTAAGAAAACTAAAAACGGAGGTTAATTTGTTAGATAATTTTTAAAATTAAGATTTTGGAGTCAATGTGCATCCTACTTAAGAACAGCTACCACGGAAACTGCAGAAAATAGCAATGATATATAAAGATGCTCATCCCAGCCCTAGTGAGTAATTTTAAACAGTACTTGCATACGGCCAAAGTGTGGGAGGTGAGAGACCAAGAAAAGATTCTTACTGAGCTAATGGAACACTAATGACTTGTTTTCGAACCTTTCTCCAATCCCCTCTTGAAACCAAACTAACCAAAACTCGAAACACAGAATACACACAGAGAACTTACCACGGAGACTTTGCTCACTACATCCCTTGCAACTGCTAAGCCTTGAGCGAAAGTCCTGGCGGCAACGAACGCACGTGTAACCTGGAGCTTCAGTTTCCGAGGGACATCTCCAAAGGGCTTCAACTGCTCTGTATATTTGCTCACACATTCCAGGTAGTCGTCTGTAAAATGGTACTGGGAGTTCACCAGGCGGAACATGCGCTCCAGAAGGCGAGCCCAGAAGTCATTTAACATTTCTTCCAGGTTCACATTTCCCGCCACGTAGTAGCGCTTCAACTCTACAAATAGATCTTTAAATAGCTCTGAATTTTGCATGTATAAGTGGCCATATGTCTTCACAAACATATCATTCAGGGATTTTTCTGCATTTTCAAGTAGTTCTTTGAAGAATTCTAGAAAGAAAACCAAAAAAAGGGAAGGGGGGAGGGAGAAAAAATGAGAAAGGCTGTTTTCTAGAAATCAAATAACTGAATGAGATAAACTGAAAAAAAAAAAGAAAAAACTGTTCAATTAAACTGAAAAGTATGTTTGCATATAAAGGGCACTTCTTCCTAAGAATTTGCATTTCAAATCATTTGTCAATGAAAAGAAGCCCATGTCACAAAGTTACCCTTTCATAGATGTCTGCATCCAAGAAAAGGACGAAAGAAAATTTCAATCAGCAGCTTCTCAGGAATCAGTATAGCATTCTGAAATCCCTCAACAAGCAACAGCAGGCTGGACATGGTGATGCCTACTTGTAATACTAGCACTTGGGAGGTAGGATCATCAGGAGTTCAAGACCAACCTCAGGTACCCAGGAGATCAGAGACTGGACACAATAAACAAACAAACAAACAAAAGCAAGCCAGATAATAGCAGCAACAGCAACAACTAGAAACAAACAAGTAAAAACTGGATAAAAATGAACAGAGTATGTCTAAAAGATGAGGCTTCTCCAAAACATTTTACTGAAAGACTCTAACCAGTGCTTCTCAACTTTCCTAATGGTGTGCCCTATTAATGTAGTTCCTCATATTGTGGAATTATTTTCATTGCTACTTTATAACTAATTTTGCTACCATTATGAGTCAAAATGTAAATATCTGTGTTTTCGGATGGTTTTAAGCAACCCCTGTGACAAGGTCATTTGACACCCAGAGACTGCAAACCACAGGTTGAGATCCATTGCTCTAAACCAAAGTAAATCATGCTCCTTAATTATGACCTAAGATTAGGACAGTTGTTTCAAAGATTGTTGTCTTCATCTCTTTTCTTCTTTACTTATTTACATGATATGGCCAGAAAGTGTTTAGAGCTCAAAACAATCTCTTAGCACTTTCTCTGTAACATTAGTGTAGCTTAGTGGTTATCTATCATAACTTTGGGTTCCTAAAGGATTCATACTGTGGCATCATGTTGTTCTTTTCAGGGTTGCAGAGATGAATTTATAATAGACATCATCACAGTTCTGTTATATCTGTAAAATGACATAGAAAATAAAAAATATAAATGACAGTATCTGGATGTTTCAAATTTATACCTTGGCCCCACACACAGTCATAGTCCAAGTGCTAAAGATTTTATTTTTGAAATGAAAATGGTAAATCAACATTCTCTGGAAGTTTAATGGGATGAGAAACACAAGAGAATTCCCAGGCCAGATAGCCTTACAATCACAGTTGTGAACAGGAGATCCTGTAATAAACAAGATTTGGAAGGTGAGAACTGAGGCTCCAGGTTGTTCTCTGACCTTGACTCCATGCTATGCCATGTCTACTTGCACTCATACATGTGCACATAGACAGGAGTCCACCTAAATATTGTTTTTAAAGAGTGATAAGCTAACCGTAATCATTCTTAAAGAATTTCTTGCCTAGTACAAAAACACCCCATGGTATTAAGTTTATAAATGGGAAATACAATGAATACCACAGCAAAGTGTAAGGACCTGATCAAATGAGGGACTGTGTCTAAGGGAGCATGGATCAGAGGAAAATTTGATGCCACTTCAAAGGCAGAACACTGGTGAGCTTATCAAAATGCAACAGCACTACAAAAGCATTCTCTTCCCACGCTGGGAAGGACAAACCAGAGGCTGACAGCTAATTTCAAATAGGTTTTCAAAACTCTTGGACTGAGTACAGCCTTTTGGAGAAAGAGAGATAGATATGTGTGGGCTTCCGTACATGCCGAGAGTCCATAGTAATGCTTTGAGCCCCTAACTCATCAATCCTTGCTTCATCGAGGTTTAAGGATAAGATTTAGCAGTCTGTCTGGTTCCATATTTTTAGATTTTCCTTTTTGGTTTTCTTCTCTCTTGCCCCTAGTTGTGGATTTTTCCCTTTTCTTTCTACTACTTCTGGTCTTTTGTTTACAATGTTTTCTTCAGGGCCCTTCCACACAGGAACCAAATAAAGAAACCCATGCAGCCTCGCTGGCATTTCTATCAATGTTCTCTCTCTTATGAGTGAGATAAGAGTATACAAAGAACTATGAAAAGTGTACTAGGGTTCCCCAGAGGAACAGAACCAAGAAAGTAACTAATTATAGAAGGGATTTATTGGATTGGTTCCCACAACCACAAAGACTGCAAAATCTTGAGACGCTTATCAACACACTGTCTCAAGAGCCAGGGAGACCAGTAGGTCCTAAGTCTAAGAATCTGAAAGCCTCAGAATAATTGAGAGGGGTTTGTCATACAGGCCCAATCCAAAGGCCTGGAGGCCTCCTGCAGAGCCACTGGTACCAAGGAAAATCTGATATGCATAGACACCAACAGCAGAAAACATACTTCCTTGAAATCAGGAAGAACTAGGTTCCCCACTTCCGTGTCATTATTCCATTAGGACCGGCATCTTTGGATGGTGTTGCCTGTACTGTTGACAGCAGATCTTTTGCTACTCAGTTCACTGGCCCATGTGCCAGTCTTCTCTGGAAAACACTCCCACAAACACATCCGGAAGGATGTTTTATCACATCTCTAGGAACCTTTCCATACCCCATAGGAACATTTGAGAAGAACCCTGGGAGGAATCCATGTGGGGAGGGTCTTTTATTGTCTATGACAACCCATGAAAATGTATCCAAGTGTACATTATGGACCAACAGCACAACGATGTCACCTAAGCACTTGTTAGAAATCAAGTTCTTGGCCCCACCCCAGACTCACTGAACCAGAAACTCCAGGTGTGGCTCTAGCCATGCATGACTCTGTTGTGCCCTCAAGTTAGAGAACAACTTCTCTAACTGATGAAAAAAATGTCTCCATTTCACCACTCACTGGCAATCACCAACAGCCCTTGGGGCTGGGCTGAGTGTGAAGCATTAAGGGGGAGCAGTACTGCTTTAATGGCAGGGAAGGTGGTTTCTTTCCAATGAATCACCTGTAAAAAAAAAATTACTATTACCTTCATAGAAATTGTATTTTGTGGTCTCTTGGGCATACATTTTCTTACTATGTGTTAACATAGATGACTAGTGCATGCAGCATTTTCCCATAATTCCAAGTTGCAAATGACACCTGGTCTGTGTCCTTTCCTGTGCCTTTTCACCAGCATCCTTGCTAAATGGTGCTTGTTGATCAGGGGCAGGAACTATGTAAGAGGATTGTGTTAGTACATGTCCAGTATGCTACAGTTGCATATTAGAAAAGGAAAGCCTGGTCACTGAGAACAGTATATGAACCTTAAGTTATGTTAATACTTCATGACCTACAAAAAAATTCTGACAGCAACCACAGGTCCTTCCGTATACTACATTTTTATCATACTGTTTATAACATTGGTATATGCCAGAAGAAACTGTGTGTTACAAATGATTTGACTTGTACTTTTGCATTCTCTTAATAAGTAAATCTGAATGTTCAGTTGCATTTTTAATCAATGGCACTTCCAGTCATGATTTTACAGGACAAGAGACACACAGTGGTCCATCTGGCTTAGTTTGATTTAAAACTTCTAAAGCTGTGAAGAATGATCCTTTAGGCTCCAGAGTGCTTTGCAGCAAAGAAATTCTATGGAGAAAGTTATTCGTTGTATTCATGTATTTGTTTATTGAGGCACAGTCTCACTATACAGGTCAAGCTGGCCTTAGACACATATAGACCTGCCTGCCTCTCCCTCCCAAGTGCTGAGCTTAAAGGTGTACTCAGTGAATCCAATCATTCTGCTCAGGTGCTGAGCAACTGCTTGTAACACAGCTATGTAGAGCATAAGAAAAATGACCTAATGAGAGGGAAACAGATTTGACGGTGACCTATCCCTTTGTCCGGCATTACCACATGGACTTTACACTGGCTCCTGTGATTCCCATTTTCTCGAAAAACCAAGCTTCTGTGAACATATAAGTTATTTGTGTGTTTATGGCAACATGTGTTTTAGGAGATTAGTGTGGTGCCACATATACACTAAATCCTAATGTATCTCATTAGCCCTAAAATGTATCTCCTTGCCTTCACACATTAAAAGACTCTTTTATGTGGCCATTTAAGTTGAAGATATAAAGAATATTTGAATGGGTATGTGGTTAATAAATGCTTGAGAAGTTCTACAAAACTAATATAACAAGTTAAAACCTCGCAGCTTAATCTCTTCAAATGGCCGTGCAATTTGACAAGTATGTACTGAGTGCTTATTATGGGCTCAAGTCAAAGCACACAGCTTTACTGTGTACCTTAGGGTTTCTCCAGTCCAATCAGACTGCTACAAAAATTTCTAGAAAGTCAAAATTTCCTTATCCATTTACCTTTACTATACAGACACTTTCCACTGTGGTTTTTTGAGTGCATGGGAGACTTTAAAATACCAATACAGTTCTTAATCTTTCATTTCATAGAGTGAGTTATTAAATATTCATCTATTTCACCCTTGAGTCAAACAAACAAACAAACATGAAATAATGTATGAGACCCAAATTCACTTCTCCTTACATTCATCTCATTTATGGGACTATTTCACCTGGTTTTTGTTTGGGGCTTTAAAGGATGGCAGTTGTCCCATAAATTCTAAAATTAGACACAAAATCAACCAAAGCACACTAATTTTCTATTGGAGTTTTAAAAGTCTGTTATTTGTTGTATTAAACTAACACTTCTCCTACACTTGGGCATAATTCTCTCCTATCTCCACTGCTCCCTACTTCTCTTCCTGTGGTATTTCCATCTAGAGTAAGGAACAGAACCCAGATTAGACAGTCAACTAACTATAAGGCCGCAGGCATCATCTGCAGCAACTCTGTTAAGTGCTGTAGATCTCATCTCCATCTGTGCACCACCCATCCCCAACTTTATTCTTGTTCCTCAGGATCAGGGTCCAATCCTAACTGCCGAAGATGACCCAGAGCAATCATCCTCCATAACCATGAATGAAAGCACTTATAATACGGGAGTTGGCTAAGGGAAGCAGCTGAGGGT